AGGTTGGGATCAGGGTATTCTTCAGCTGCCAGGGTTCGACAGTACATTCAACACGAGTGTGAGGGTTATCTAGCGTACGTGGTGGATAAGCGGGTCAGGGATCAGATTTCAGTATCGGATGTTCCAGTAGTTAGGGAGTTCGCCGATGTGTTTCCGGAGGAGTTACCCGGAGTGCCTCTGGTGAGGCAGGTCGAGTTTAGGATCGACCTTGTTCCAAGTGCTGCTCCTATAGCCAAGGCGTCGTACCGAATGGCACCACCAGAGATGCAGGAGTTGGCATCTCAGTTATCAGAGCTGCTGGGCAAGCAGTTCATCTGTCCGAGTAGTTATCCATGGGGAGCGCCGATCCTCTTCGTCAAGAAGAAGGATGGTTCACACCGGATGTGCATTGACTACCACGAGTTGAACAAGTTGTCAGTGAATAACCGTTATCCACTCCCGAGGATAGATGATCTTTTTGGCCAGTTACAAGGCGGATCTTGGTTTTCCAAGATTGATTTGAGGTCCGGGTATCATCAGGTCAGGGTGAGGGAGGAGGACGTGGGGAAGACTGCATTTCAGACTCGGTATGGACACTAAGAGTTTGTGGTGATGCCGTTTGGGCTCACCAACACGCCGACAGTATTTATGGACCTGATGAATCGGGTTTGCAGACCGATGCTCGACTGCTCGGTCATCGTGTTTATAGATGACATCTTGGTGTACTCCAAGACCCGAGAGCAGCATGAGGATCATTTACGGGAGTTATTGGGAGTTTTGAGACGAGAACGGATCTATGCCAAGTTCTCGAAGTGTGAGTTTTGGTTGCGAGAGGTTCAGTTCCTTGGACATCTCGTTAACCAGGAGGGGATTTTGGTCGATCCGGCCAAAATCGAGGCGGTTATGCAGTGGGAGGTCCCAAAGTCTCCTTCGGATATCAAGAGCTTCTTGGGATTGGCGGGGTACTACCGGAGATTCATACAAGATTTCTCCAAGATTGCAGTACCCCTCACTCGTCTGATGAGGAAGGGGGTGGATTTACGGAGGGTCCCCGAGCAGCAGAGGGCGTTTGAGACCCTCCGACAGCGACTTTGCGAGGCCCCAGTCCTGACTCTTCCGGAGGGAGTCGAGGATTTTGTGGTATTTTGTGATGCATCCATCACAATACTGGGAGCGGTCCTCATGCAGAGAGGACAGGTGATAGCTTACGCATCGCGGAAGTTGAAGCTGCACAAGATGAGATACCCTACTCATGATTTGGAGTTGGGAGCGATGGTATTCACTCTCAAGATATGGAGGCATTATCTCTAAGGGGTCCGCTGTACCATCTACACGGACCATAAGAGCCTGAGTCACATCATGGATCAGTCGAACCAGAACATGAGACATCGCAGGTGGATGGATGTAGTCAAGGACTACGACTGTGAGATCCTTTATCACCCAGGTAAAACGAATGTGGTTACGGACGCTCTGAGCCGCGAGTCAGCTGGATCTTCTACCCCAGTGACATGTATGTGGATATCCGTGGATTCTCCACTCGTGAGATTGATCAGGGAAGCTCAGGCCGAGGGTATACGGCAGGAGAACTGGAAGTTGGAGAGGATTAGGGGTGATATCACCCGGTTTGTGCAGGATAGTCACGGGTTGTTGACCCGGTGCGGTCGGGCCTGGGTTCCAATGTCTGGTGGGTCAGACAGATTGTATTAGAGGATGCTCATAAATCTCGCTTCTCTATTCACCCGGGGGCCACCAAGTTGTACCGGGATTTGAGATTGAGCTATTGGTGGCCTTGCATGAAGCGAGAGATCGCTCGGTACGTTGAGAGGTGCTTGACCTACAGGATGGTCAAGGCCGAGCATCAGAGACCGCATGGCAAGCTGAAGCCTCTGGAGGTTCCCATGTGGAAATGGGAATAGATCATGATGGATTTTATCACCAAGCTGCCGAGGACGTCAAAGGGTTACGACGCCATATGGGTCATCGTGGATCCATTGACCAAGAGTGCCCACTTTCTTGCTATCCGGGAGAGCTCATCGGCTGAGAAGTTTGCCGAGGTGTATATCCCCGAGATCGTTGCTCGCCACGAGGTACCGGTCTCTATTGTGTCATACCACGATGTTAGACTTACCTCCCGTTTCTGGCAGAAGTTCCATGAGCAACTGGGCACACTGCTACATTTTAGCACCGCGTATCATCCGCAGACCGACGACCAGAGTGAGTGGACCTTACATACTCTCGAGGATATGCTGAGAGCCTGTATTATCGACTTCGGTGGGAGATGGGACTCCTACCTACTGCTGGCAGAGTTCTCCTATAACAATAGCTTTCACTCCAGCATTGGTTATCCACCTTATGAGTTGTTGTATGGACGGAGATGCCGCACCCCAGTCTGTTGGGGAGAGGTGGGTCACAGGGTGATGGGTCGGACCGAGGTAGTCCTGCAGACAACCGAGATGATTCAACAAATCAGATAGCGGTTGCAGACCGCACAGAGTCGGCAGAAGAGTTATGCCGACCGGCGCCGATCTGAGTTGGAGTTTCAGGTTGGTGAGATGGTACTCCTGAAGGTCTCACCCTAGAAGGGTGTGATTCGCTTCAGTAAGAGGGGGAAGTTGGGTCGCTGATACATCGGGCCGTTCAGGATCATTGCCAGGGTTGGCAAGGTAGCATATAGACTGGAGCTACAAGAGGAGCTTAGTCAGATCCATAGCACTTTCCATGTGTCCCAGTTGCGAAAGTGCATGTTAGATGAGGAGGCAGTGGTGTCATTGGATGATATTCAGGTCGATGAGCGCCTGAATTATGTAGAGAGGCCCGTGGCTGTACTTAAGATTAAGGTGAAGGTTCTATGGAAAAAGGAGGTACCTTTGGTAAAGGTACAGTGGGAACATCGAAGAGGATCTGAGTGGACTTGGGAGCGGGAGGCTGAAATGCGGGAGCATTATCCGAAGTTGTTCACTGCAGCGGACTTCGAGGACAAAGTCTAGTTCAAGTGGGGGAGAGTTGTAACACCCCGATCTTCAGGTATAAACTTTAAAGCTTTATTTGCATGTTGAAGGGCCTACTCGAAGAGTTGATGCCATGACTCGTCGAGTAGGAACGTTTTCGGCCACATGGTTTAAGTGACCAACTCGACGAGTTGGAGCTGGAATGAGAGACCCTAATCTTCGGGGTTTTTGCACCCTATTTAAGGGTCATTTGCCCCCTTAGCCTCCCTTATAGCCCCCTTGTGAGTTCATAAACCCTAAATCGCTGCTTACTCCTCATTTTGTGTGATTTTAAGCTTGGTAGGTGGATTGTAGTGGGAAGAACTTGAAGTGCAAGAGTGTGGAGCAAAGAGAGGCTGTGGATCCGAGTTCATCTTCATTTTAGCATCGTTTTGGAGGTAACAAGTTGTTACCTTGACTTCCCTCTTGCTAAATCTCTCCATGTTTAAGATTAGAGCCATTTCTAACATCTATATGAACCATTTTCGGGTATGGACTAGGATTTGTAGTTTCAACTTCAGATCTGAACTTACCTTGGTCTCCATAACTATAAAGTCTCCAGCTTCAGCAAGTATGAACCTTCCCCTTTGATTTAAACCTCATTATTGCATGATATGCTTATTGATTTGCATCCGTGTAATTAGGATGGTGATATGTTAGTGACCGGTTAGGTCGGTATCCTGGTTATAGGATGATGCTATGTTAGTGACCGGTTAGGTCGGTATCCTGGTTATAGGATGTTGCTATGCTATTTGATCTGTTAGATCGGTTTGACTGTTATATATGCTAGCGTATGGTATTTATGTGCACATGATTGTTGATATGGGGGATGGGTTGAGGTGATCCTGCTTTGTGTTAAAGGCCAACATACCCAGGGCAGATCGGATAGACTGCAGACCCGGTTAGGGTCCAGTCAGTCCGAAGGCTTGGCGAGCGGTCCGGATAGGCTGTAGGCCTTGCGAGGCGGTCCAGACGTGCCGAAGGCACGGAGAGCGGTCCAGATAGGCTGAAGGCCTACGAGGCGGTCCAGTCAGGCTGAAGGCTCATTATGCATGCTGTGTTTGTTTGATTATATGATATGGTTATATATGTATGGTGTTGGTATTTTGGGGGTAACTCACTAAGACTTCGATACATTTATCGATTATTGTTTCAGGTACATCCGATGACCGCGACAAGGCGAAGGCGTGATCGTGCACCTCCTTATGTTTTTAAGATTTGATTATGGGATACTCTGACATTAAACTATTTCAAAAATATGTTTGTAATAATCATCGGGTTTTGAATGATTTAAAAAGTTTTAAATTTGCTTGAAATTTTGGGATGTTACACAATTGGAGCAGAAAATGTAAAAGATGTGTCCGGAAGAGGAATTAAGTTTAGATTCTTTACTTTGTTTATCATCAGGATAATATAAAGCTTTAACTCTTGTGCATGAATACCGTTGTGATTTTTAATAATGCCCTGAATTTCTAGTCACTTAGTGTATTCGGATTTGATAAGTTTAGATACTAGAATTCTTTCGGGGTACTCTCTTTTAAAATATCTTCTAACAGGTGCATCGTAAGAATCTTCTCCTTTTTATGTTTAGTACGTCTAACATTCACAATCAGACCATGAGAAATTGTTCTTAAGAAGACATCAACATAGGTAGAATGATCAATAATATTTAGAATATTTTGAACTCTCTTCTTCTTGTCAACTTCACAATTGAATTTTTGAAGAGCTTCCATGTGCTCAGAAAAACTTCCTCCAGTAAAAACAACTTCTGGAACAGTTTTATAGACTCATGTTAGTAAATGAATCGATTACGGGTTACTCTGTTGTGTTCATCAACAAAAAGCTCTGACTTCTTTAATATAGAAGCCCCATTCATCAATGACATCAGATAGCTTAAGGGATTTCCTTCATTTGGGAGAAAAAGAGATTAAGGCAACAAAAGACTTCCTTTTTCCTGACAAAGGCTGATCATCATTAGTATCTATGTCACTGTTGACATGTTGCTCCCCCTTGAGGTTGAGAATCCCCTTCAGCTTATGATCCAGTTGGGAAAATAATAGAGATTGGAAGTGGCATAACATGAACATGTACTGAATCACCTAAGAAACTAAGATCTAAACATCCTTCTTCATCAACATCAGTAGGAGAGTATAAAGCCTCATTAACCTTATCTTTATGTTGTTGATTTAAATTCTCCCCCTTTTTAACATAATCTAAGGGAGTATCTGGAAGTGTAGCAGAAACAAGAACTGTAGGGGATACAGGAGGCAGTTGCTGATCTTGAGTTGAAGGTTGAGCACGGGATGGTGGCATCATGGGAGGATCATAAAGAGGCTGTTCATCGTTGGATGGTAGTGGTGGAGGTGGTGGTGGATTACTTGATGAAGGAGAGGTGGTTGAAGTGGATGGAATAACTCCCCTCTTGATAGAAGCAACATCTATCTAAAGATGTTCCATATGCTAAACAAACACGTTAGAAACATCTATCAGTATACGAAGAGCTAGTAAGATCTGAGATTGTGTATCTTATTGTGTAGGACCATGCTCGCCCTCAGGATGAGCACAGATAGAAATAGTATCCATCGATTGAGAATCCCTGTGTTTTTTAGCAGGAGAAATAGTCTTATTAAATCCAAAACGATGATAAAACAGAACATGTTTTGTAATCTCTGGAATACCTTGGGATGAGGAAGAAGAAGACTTGAAATAAGTATGCGTGTTGAGTCGAGATGGAGACGGAATGATAGTAATAGAAGGAAAAATGATGAAGGTTTGGAAGAGAATTCAGTATCAGAAACTTCAATATCCTCATCATCTTTATTCATATCATCATCTTCCTCTTTATTAACTCACTCAGTTGCTTCATCATCATACTCTTCCTCCTCAAATTCAAAAACCACTTCAGAAGCATCCAATAACACCCATAAGTTATTTCTACCCTATAGGAAGACATTGTTGTTAAAGCAGACCAAGGTGTTTTCCTTGCTTCGTGAGATCATAACCCAAATTATCCACAACTTTCTTGCATTGATCTTATCAGGGAAGATTGAAGTAATGAACCAGATTAGGAAGTCAAAGAGCATCCATGATTGCTTCCATAGTGTTGACAACATTATAATTTACTTTTCCAACTGCACCTCAAATGGATTCTGATTGCTAATCATACGTACATGCATAGTAGAATAAAGCAGTGCAACCAGCAAGAGCGTATCTCAATAGACGAGCTTTCAGAAATTCAACAAAAGCTTCCAACCCTCTATTTTGATACTTGGCCGAAATAAAATCCGAGAATGCGGCATTGGTATCATTAATCACAATGAGAGTTGATGACATGTTGCAAGCTTTGAGAGCACCAACAGTTAGAATGTAGGTGAAGAGTGAAGCCATAAACACAAATGATTTTATGGTTCTTCAGGGGTTTTACATGAGAGAGAATAATGATCAGGAAGTTCTAAACCTTTGAATGAAAAAATAATTTCCTTTTATACTTTCACGATTGAAAAAATTTAGAAAATATATCGTTATCTGATGATGTGATCATGACATAAAATAGCACCGTCAATCTCGAATCCCCAACTGACGGTTCTGTTCTTATCCTAGAAAGTTATCGTTGGTGAATGTATCTGATGAAAAATTTTAAGAAGATTGTGAGATATAAAGTATTGCAGCGGATTAACGTAGGATATTTTATGTCTCACTCACTGTATGGTGTAATACATGAGTTCTTTGACATAAGCTTTTTGATGTTCATGCATTGTATATTTATAATACAGTGGATCATATACATCATTTTTTGATTGACATATCTCAAACATTGTATGGGATAACACAGTGGTTCATAGATATTTGATATTATGCCTCAAATTAACTATGCTATAATAGAAAATATCATGGGCATCAGAGTGAAGGGTGTTTGGCGTCATATCCTTATCTTTGGTTAAAAAAGTCAAGGTTCATGGACATCAAATGCAGGGTGTGTCATATCCAGTCTATGATTATTATAGACAGGGTCAAGGACACAAGAAACCCTTTGTCATTGTTGAATCATAAAAGTGACCCTCTTGAACTTGGTCTACCGCAGTCATCAAAGATCCGCAGTCAACTCTTTTCAGCAACCTCATCCGAAGTCATCATCAACCGCAGTTCATTTTCTAGTTTACTTAGTTTAACTCTATCTACTTTTGTTAGAATACTTTCTATTGTCCAGTATGCCTTGCATGGCTACACATAGATAGTTGATCCAATGTAATATTTGAGTCTCTATATATAGAGCTCAATCTTTCTTGTTCAAGAGACACATCTCTTACATCTATCTGATTACGCATCTTAAATCTCATATCTTGTGCTATTACTCTCTCCTTCTTACTCTCAAAGTTCACTTGAATATAACTGAATATTATCTCTCTTCGGAGCAAGTCATTCGTGACTTAATCACTAAGTTTGATCTCATTTACTAACTTGGTCTGAATGCATTCCTTGTTAAGAATCAACTTGTGTGTATACTTGATTATCTATTTTCTTACATTTCCGTAACTAACTCTCTAATTATCTAACTCATTAACTTATTATTATTGTTGAGCTTTTAGATCCTTTGAGATAAACTATTCCGCAACTATACTTGTTCTAACGTTTGTTCAAGTGTGTCTCAAGTTTTTCTCTCAACAATTGGTATCAGAGCCATAGTGGTTGCTTTTTGAAGCAAAACTCTGATTTTCAAAAGGCCTTCTATACCACTGAAGCTCATTTCTTAAAAAAAACTTTTCAAAAAAAAAAACAAGGAAAAATGGCACAAGCGTTATCTCTGAATGTTTCCAACAGTGTTGGTGGTTCAAATCGAGCCCCAATATTGGTGGCAAATGAATATCATCACTGGTCTCAGAGAATGGAAAGATACTTAAGGAGACTTGGTAGAGATGTATGGCGGTCCGTAGAAGAAGGACCACATGTCCCTGTTCTTACACCAGTTCAAACTGACGGCGCCATAGCCAGACGAGGAGGAGGTCAACCAGTCATGAACCGTACCACTAAAGATGACCTCGATAAAATGGAAAATGATGCTGTTGCTTTTTATGAAATCTATTGTGGAGTTGCTCCTGACAACTTCGATATTACCATAAACTGCAAATCAGCAAAAGAGATCTGGGAAGTTCTCAATAATTTGTATGAAGGCTCAGAACAAGCTCAAGATAAGAAGCTCACGACTGCACTCAATGAGTTCAACAATTTCAAAGCTCATACTGGCGAAAGTTTGGAAGACTCCATCAAAAGGTTCAACCTGATAGTCACTAAGTTATCTAATGCTGGCACCATCCGCAGCAACCATGAAACAAACCTTCAGTTTCTCAATGGTTTGGGAAGACATTGGACTACTGCTAAGATGATAGTTCAAGGGGACAGAAAGATTCATTCTTTGTCTCTCTACAAGCTTTACGGGGAACTGCAAGCACAAGAATCCACCGTACTCAAAGACTGTGCTGACTTCGGAGGACCACTTTCTCTTATAGCACAAGCTCCACATAATCAATCCTAATCTCCCTCGTATGACACTCCTCCGCAGTCATACGAAGCCGACTCAGAGTATGATGATGAAGAAGAATTTCAGAAGGCTATTGCTCTTGTTAGTCAACAGTTCAACCAGCTACCACCTCCTTCCTTTCGTAAGAATCAGCAGTTCAACAAACCTCCATTCAACCGTAACTTCAACCCGTAGAATAACCATTCTCAATATCCCAAAAGTTATCATCCACCACCGCAATCTCAAAATAATCAACCAAAGGAGGCACCGCAGTCCATCCAAACCACTGACTCCGGTACTCCCTCAGAAGACAAAAGTAATGTTGTGATTTGTCACAAGTGCAGCAAAGAGAATCATTTTGCAAAAGATTGCAAGGCAAATGTAGTAAAATACAGAGCATTCTACCTGAGAATGGCTCAAGAATTGGAAGAAAAGGAAAAGGCAAGGGCATACGTAACCCATGTAAAAAGAGACCATCAAGTTCACTTGTGCAATCCAGGGCAATCCAGAGTTTTCTTGTTCAAGAGACACATCTCTTACATCTATCTGATTACGCATCTTAAATCGCATATCTTGTGCTATTACTCTCTCCTTCTTACTCTCAAAGTTCACTTGAATATAACTGAATATTATCTCTCTTCGGAGCAAGTCATTCGTGACTTAATCACTAAGTTTGATCTCACTTACTAACTTGGTCTGAATGCATTCCTTGTTAAGAATCAACTTATGTGTATACTTGATATAACACCTGCTGTCATTTATATTTTCTTATATTTCCGCAACTAACTCTCTAATTATCTAACTCATTAACTTATTATTATTGTTGAGCTTTTAGATCCTTTGAGATGAACTATTCCACAACTATACTTGTTCTAACGTTTGTTCAAGTGTGTCTCAAGTTTTTCTCTCAACAGTCATTAAGGCCTGGACAAGTATCTCTCAGTTTAGAGACTATGCTATCAAGGTGAGCCACATGGTTGTTGCTCAGTGAATCAGCAGTTCATGAGAGTTGATAGATACGCCAACATGTTTTCAGGGACAACGTCTGGTTGGAAAAACAAAAATATATGATAAACATCCAAGACATATTCTTAATTTTCTTAAATGGACCAGGTCATCTCACACTAAATCTTTAGACATGGCTATCAATCAATATGAGTGGATGACTCAATGATATCTCATCAGTTGTTCTCGCTAATGATCTACATAGAGAGATTTAGTCACATACATCAAAATGCTTCTAGGGACATAGATAGTCAAAGCTTCATTCTTGAACACTAAAGTTCACCGACAATTCCTTAGAGGTACAATTTATCATTAAAAGTATTCAAAGATATAGTTTCATTCCATAATATAGTATTCACCATCAATTCCTTAGATTAAGTAGAAAACAAAAAAAAAAAAAAAAAAAAAAACTAGTCTAAAAGGAAACAGTCAACGAGAGTAAATTGAAGCTTTTTCAGGAAAAGTCTTTATTTTGCAGATTTTATTAATCTTTTAGTTGAATGATCGTTAAACTTTTTCTGCTTTCGAGAAACCTACTTATACATTTTTTTCTATAAAACCAAGATATGTTTGCAATCTTTTAATGTCTTAAAATCTTTTCTCACCCTTTTACCTAAAATGAGAGTAGAAATCTTCTCTCTTTGTGAAAAAACATCATGTTGATGGGTTGCAAGCTCCAGGTTCAATATCAAGGACGAGATATAAAAGAAAAAGGAATCTTTTTAGCCATCGAGTTAATGGTTTGTAATCTTTGTAATAATCTATATATGAAATTCACTAGGATGATAGTCGAAGGGGAAAAAGATTATGAACCAAGAGACAAGAGACAAGGCACAAGGATCATTATCTTTATAATGCGGTCTTGAATCTATAATAGAAGACATGGATGAAATAGAGAACTTCAACGGAAATTACTCGTGCCATCGGCTTTTTCTCAACCTGTCTATATGGGAAGTAGTCCATTATGGATTTCCCCAAACATCACCCCCAAACTAAAATTTGCAGGGCATTCTTTGAAGAAGGAGAGTCATTGTTTGGTCATGAATATGGTAGAATCCTGAATCATGTAACTCAGAAGATAAAGACATCAGGATTAATCATTAGAAGATGTTAGCATGCAATGTATACTCCTTTGGTAGAAATAAATGTAATAGATTTAGCAGAAAATGAATGAAAATCTTATTTTTGTATTTTTGAGATTTATGTTTTTAAAAAATTAAAGAAAACACCCATAAAATCTAAAAAGTACACAAATTATATAGATAAAATTAAAAAGAAGAAAAACCTCATGACATAGAGAGCAATCCAAATTCATCAGTGAAAAACACTATCTTTTGTTCATCCAGGGGGTTGGTGAAGATATCATCGAGTTGATTGTTCGTTGGAATGTACATCAGCTCAATCTTTCCTTTTTGCACGTTGTCCCTGTAGGGGTTTTGAGGATTCTAACACTCCTATGGTGTACATGCAACCCTAGAAACCTTGGATCTATGTTTTATCTATGATACATGAAAAATTGATTTTCCAAGGTTCATAACCTATCTAGCATACATGGGGAACTTTTCAATGTAAAAGATAGTAAAAAATACATACCTTTAGTTGCTTGGATTCCTTAAGAACCTTGTGAGCCTAGCACCTCAAGTGTGATGCCTCAAATGTCTCACACAACACCAAATACACTTGGAATAACCTTGAGAGAAATAGAACACTTCTAAAATCGGCTATGCCCTCTTGTTCTCATACTAGTGCCGATTTTGGTCTACAACATGTTGCTTATATAGTGTGTCATAATTAGGGTTACGCCATGTAAACCCTAATTGACATGACTCTTCATTTCTTGGATCCATGGGTTCAAAAACACCATGGA